GAAGAGCAAGTTAACTGAGCTAAGGCTTTAGGCCTCTTGCAGTAAAGACGGAGATACTACTGTAAAGGAAGATGCAAAATGGTTTAAAGGCCACCATTCGACATAAGATGCAGCACCTTAGGAAAAGGAGGAATAATAGACTTCATTTATCACATTAAGCATATCTTTGTGCTATTTTCAATTGAGCAAATACTTACAAGGTCATTCATATTAGTTTGGCTGGCTGGATTAATTTCTTCCAAAAATTCCAAGACATAAAATGTATATCTATCCATAAGGTGGACTCCAATTGCAGGATCCGGTTGGTGCTATGAAAAGCAAAGCATACACAATGGTATATGATTCAGTCATTAAAAATAATAAAATCTCACCAATTTGCAACAACATAGATAGACCTTAAAGGCATTATGCTAAGTAAGTCAGACAAAGATAAATAAGCATATGATCTTACTTATACATGAAACTACAAAACTCATAGTAATAGAAAACAGACTGGTAATTGCGAGAGATTGGGGGTGGAGGATGCTGTAGGGAGGGGGCAGTTTTGACAGTGAGTCAAATGGATAAAGGGAATTAAAAGATTAAAAACTTCTATTTATAAAATGCGTAAGTCACAAGGATGTAATGTACAGCATGGTGACTATAGTTAACAATACTGTATTGTATATTTGGAAGTTGCTAAGAGATTCGCTCTTAAAAGTTCTCATCATAAGAAAAAAAATCTCTAACCATATATGATGACCAGTGTCCATTGGGCTTATTGTGGGGATCATTCACAATATATACAAATACCAATTCATTATGTTGTACACCTGAAACTAATGTTGTATGTTAATTATACCTCAAAATAAATGTTTTAAGCAAAGAAAAAAAATAGTGTATGTCTAATAGCATCATTAAAAGAAAGTGTTTTAAATGCAATCAGAATGTCCTTCTAAGGTTTTTAAAAGTCTAGGAATAAGAAGTAATAGATATATACATAAGACATGTAAGTGATTTCAGAAATAGCTACGAATTCCAAAGACAATGAAGTTTAAATGGGAAAAATGCACCTACCGAGAGTGAATCTTCTCCCACTTGGCTACTAGCTAAAGCCATTATGTTAGGAGAATAAAATCGTTCATACATGGATGCTCCTTGACAAGTATCAATAATAAACAGTAGCTCATTGTAGCTGAAAGAAAAGTGGTAATATCCTTGACATAAATAATGCTGTTAATCATACACTAATATGTTTACAATGCTTCTATAACCTAAGATGTTAAAGTCATATCATAGTCATTTCATTAGCTCAAAATGTGAGAGTTTTCTGTAGAATTCCCAATAGAAATCTGACATTAGATATATTAAAGGTATAATCTTATCCAGGGGAACTATCTCTACAGGGAGTAGTGGTTGTACTACCAAGTACCAGTTGTCCCAACTCTTTCTTTCTCCCTTATTTATGCCACATGATTCAGAATCCACATGCACATTCAATTTAAAAAACTTATTTGGCACCCATACTGTCCTAGAAACTGAGCTAAGTTCAGAAGAAAAAAAAATTGACTTAGTCATCATACTCAAAGAGTTTAAAATCTAGCTGGAAGACAGATAAATAAATGCATAACTAAGCTGGAATGTGGTAAGGGTTGCAAATATTCACTGACAGCCTACAATGTGTCTGACACTAAACTGGGAATACAACAGTCCCTGCCCTCAATGATTTAGGCAAAAACTTGTACTAAGGCACCTAAATGTGGAAAAGCACAAATGTTTAGTAAAAGGGGAATAGTACTGTGTAGCTAGGATTTATAGTAAATTTGTAGAAATAGAGAGAAAATAGTTTCAAAAAGATAGGATAGGGTTAATCTGCAAAGTATCCCATATGAAGTCTTGATCTTATCCTTTAAGTTTGAGGAAGCCACTAAAGGCTTTTTCTAATTGAAAGAATAACATAATCAGCTCTATGTTTTAGAATGAACTGCCTAGCTGGTGAACGTGAAAGTGGAGAGCAGATCCTTTTTCTCGGAGGTTTCTCTCTGACACTGGATCCAGGTAAATAGCTAATGCTAGAAAAGAAAGCATTTGATCTTGGAACACAGTATTTAAGCAGGTAATGGAAGGCACAATTAATATGAGACATTTGTTCTGACACAAAATCTGTGGAGGCCCCTGAGGATCAGAAACATCTAAGGCAGTACAGCAAATAAGGGAGTAAGCTCTGGGTCAGACCACTGGGCGTGAATCCTAGTGCAGCATTTACAAGCTGTGTAGTTTGGCAAGCAAAGAATCAAGGCTATCTGTGCCTCAATTTACTCACTTGCAAAAATGGGGATAACAATAATATCTACCTCATGGAATTGTTATTAAAATTAAAAGAAACAATACATGTAAAACACAGTGGCCAGTACTGAATATGCATCAAATAAATGTAAGCTATGAATAAGATGAAACCAATACCTAGGGAAAGCTTCCTCCTCAACACCTCCATACATTCTGCTTATGCTTACAACTCAGTATTTATAACATTTAATTTGTAGCACAGTTGTGTACTGTGTCTCTTTTCCACTGGATTTTAAACACTTGGAAGGCAAAATAAGCATCATATTCCCCTCTGTGCTATATGTTTGAAAAGTAACCCATAAGGGTTTATTGAAGGTAACCAAGTTAAAAGCAGTTGTTTTGCTACTTTAAATTCACTTAAGTTCATTCATTCAACATTCAACTAAAGGGGTGCTTACCGTGGATTACTAACAATACATCACCCTTAATGTGAGTTGTTACTAATTTTATCCTAATGGTTATTCCAGTATTTTTTCTCAAAGAAGAAATAATGCATTGCTATCATACGGAGGGCCAGAGTATGTGCAAAAAGTAAAAATAGGTACAAGTTGGAAATATGTACATAATCCCCCTGAATAATGGGGAACTTGGTTGGTGGAATGCTTATTTCCTCTAAAATTGATACTAAATAATAAGAAATAAGATCTTTAAAAGTTAACTTTTTTCATGCTCTTTAAAAACCCTGAGTTTTTCTTTAAAAATAATCCAGTTTGTTAGAAATAACAGACATAAATCTAAAAGGGCAGAAGAAATTATTACAATAAGTTAAAATCTCATAAAATAAGATCTACAAATCTACTAACCATGGAAAAATTAGGGCTAGTTTATCTTAAGAAAAGTAGTCAGTTACTAATTACCGTCTTTTCTGCCACATTTGTTCAAAGGCATCTGCAAGTTCTATGTTGGTAATTTCTTCAGAATCTTGGAATTTCAAGAAGCCATTTCCACCATGTCCTTGTAGGAAGAGTCAAAAAATCAAATAGACACATTTTCTTACTGCAAACTGCATACATCCAGACATAAACATTTACTTCATTCATGGCAATATTTTAATATCATTTGTTATTTTACACTCTAAAGTAAAAAGTACAGTGAAACAAATTTAATTTTCTATTATACCAATTAAAAAGAACAACAGAGTATAAAAAAAGTACTAGATACAATATTTAAGAGTTTTGCTATCATTCAGTTCTAGAAAAACTCATGGCTAGTCCCATGGCATGCGACTACTATTTAGTGCATACTTGAAATGTTATACTACTAGAAAGTGCAGTTCTTGCCTAAAATTGATTTTTGTACTAGCATCCACCACTGTCACATGAGAGTTGACCAGAAGATTATGACATTTATAATGCATGATAAAGCCAGTCTGTCTGGATTCAAATACTAGTTCTGTCACTTAATGACTGAGTAAAATTAGGCAAATAACTTAATCTTTCTATGCCTCAGTTTCCTTAGCTGTAAAGTGAGAATATATCAACAAGACCATCATTAGTATGCCTATACAACTCCTTTGTGTAGAAGGTACCTCCCACTGGGCATCAAAGTAGAAAAATATGTCTATTTCAGTACCCCCTCTGGATATAAGGCCTATGAGCTTAACAGTGGTTAGCAGCCATGCCTTTGCAGGAAAAAAAATACTTCTCCCTCTCATTAGACACAACTCAATGGCAGGCATAGGCCAGCTTAGTTAAGTGTAAACCCATACTACATTTCAGTTCCCACTCAGCCCTAGTCAGACACTTGCATGTAATGCACACCCACACAACCACAAGTGACAGCCCTGAGTTTCAGCACCTACATCTTCCGGTTGCTGTGAAGATGAAATTAATTAATACACATGACTCAGAACATTGCCTGATGTACAGTAAGCCTCAATACATATTAGCTTTTATCATTTTATCATAGTTATCAGCCCTCCTATTCTCTTACATCAGTAGGTAAGCTTTTTCTGTGAAGGTCCAGGCAGTAAATGTTTTAGGCTCGTAGGCCTATTATGGTTTTTGTTGTAACTGCTGACTCTGCCATTACAGTGTAAAAGTGGCCACAGACGATATATGTAAAACAAATGGATGGAAATGTGTTTATTTCCAAGACAGGCAGCCCTTCCATGGGCCACAGTTTACCAAATCTTATCTTATACTACTGGAATTTCCTCTATACCTGGACTTATCCTGAAGGAGTATCAACAGACTCAGAAAAAAGTCATAAAACCTACAGCACATCAAATAAAGCTAAGCTATAAGATTGTACTTCATCCTACTTGCCACAAAAGCTTAAAAATTTCTTTCAACTGTCAGATAAACTAAAATGAAATTTTCCCTGACTCCATTAACTCTGCTGGATTTACAAACAGACTGCGTTTTAAAAGCTGTAAATAAATGCAACATGATGGATAAAGTAAACCACTAAGTAGGAGTAACTGTCCTGCTGTGTGACATCTAAGAATCATTCTGTACCTGTTTCATCATCAGTTGAATGAAATGCCCTATGAAAAATTTTTAAATATTATTAGATCAACATTTATATTTACTGAATACTACTGTATGATATTGGAAAAAAAGATGAAAAACAAATTAGCAATGACATCTTGGATTTCAAATCTAATGAAGGCAATAAATATCCAAATAAGAAAGTAATAATGAGTTAAATGGTAAGATAGAAACTATGAATTAATATGGGGATGCAAAGAGGAGAGCCTACACCAGCTAAGGAGATGAGGAATGTCTTAGAGATACTATAAAATGTATTATTCATACCAGGACACTTCTGAGGGCGAAAGGAGGCACTGTTAGTAATTACATTAGGACAACAGATATACACTAGGATTGTCCCAAGCAACAGAGACATAGGAGACTGTAGACTTAGAAGAGAAAATCACCAAAGGAAGAGACTCCTGTACTAAAACTAAAAAGATAGGGAATAATCAGGTAGACAAAGTGAACTGAAAGGACATCAAATAACAAAAGCAATAGCTTAATCAAATGTTTGGAGGCCAGGATCTGTCAAATGCTTGGAAGGGAGTCAGAATAAGTGTAAGAACTAAAATTAACTAAATAATATAGCTAAATATATACATATACATATACATATACATATACATATACATATACATATACATATGTATGTGTGTGTGTGTATATACATATATATACACACAAAACTAAATAAATAATGTAACTAAATTATATTATGGAGGACTTTTATCTCTAAAGTTCCTCAAAGTATAGACAGAAGACTACTGCACTCATATTTGGGAAGTATACTTAAAATGCTGTTTCATGAGTCCCACCCCAGACCAACACTAAATCAGAATTCTAGGAAAAGACCCGAGTAACTGCATTCAGGTAATCCTAATGCACTCTAAAATTTAGCACTACATCAATGGAAAACCATTTTAAAGTCTGAAGCAGAGGAGGGACAGATTTGCAATTTCTATTAAATACTTTAGTAGGATGATTAACAGGAGACAAAACTAAAGGCAAAGAGGCTAGAGCAAGATACCGAGTAAGATGTAATAAGCTTTATCAGGGCAATAGTTAAAAAATTAGTGATAAGAAACTAAGGGACAGCACAAAAGGTTATACTGTTTTCAAATATGATTCCAAGTTGTTATATATTATGAGATAAGAAAACTACACAAATAAGTATTTTAACCCAAAATAATTTAAGGTGTTTAAATTTTTTCCATGCGGATTTCTTTTTGAAAAGAGTCACACTATATTCTATTATTAAATATCTAAATTCTGAGATTACCTGTCATATAAATAAGAATATTGCTCCTATCATCAGAAAGAAGTCGTTTTGACCGAGGAGTACTAGGTGGGATCCTCCCAGTTAATACCCGTAAAAAATTCTCCACAGTTACCTAAACAAAAAAATGAGAAATCAGATGAATAGAACCTGTAGAAACCTGAATTTTTTTTCTTTCAAAAACTTTCCTTCTTTCTCTATGTTTTACTCAGCATAAACTGAAAATAAAACACAAAGAGAAATGTAACTCGATTTATTTATTTAAATATATACGACAAGGTAACTGATTCCACTTAAAAAAAAACCTTAAATACTAACACATAAAAACTATCTTGGTAAAAATAAGTTACTTATAAATTTAAAACTTTAAATGCTATACAAAGTATTGCCAAAAAATTAAAAATTATTCATCAGTCTTTATAAATACTTCTTTGGGAGGACACAAAATACACAAACTTTTAAATAAATTCAGCAACATTGTAACTATTACAGTTAATCTGTGCAACTACTTAGTCAATTCTAGATTTAGCATGAAAGGTCCATAATAAATCATAAAAATAAAACCATAAGAAAAGGTCTATAAATAATCTTCAAATTATGTACCTTTGAATTTTTGATGCATTTTTCTTTCTTAAATTTCATTAGGAATACCTTTAACATGTAAAAAATTCATAATACTTTAAACCACATTTCCCAACATGGTATTTCTGGACCTCTAGGATTCTTTGAAAACATATTTAAAATTGTATAGATCTATATTAAAAAGTAGAAAATCTTTCTAGCTTTCCTACTGACTTTTCCCTAGATCATAAGTATGTAAATGTATACATGTATGTATGTATGTATGTATGCAATGTTTAGCTTACATTTTTCCCAAAAGAGAGCAAAATGCTAAATGTTTTGATAGGATTTATTCTTGGTTAACAAGGAAGGGATATTTTTGGTCCACATTTTATGATGACTAAACTAGTAAAATGTCCAACATTCATTTAATCATTAAACAAACATTTTTTGAATGCCTTCAAAGAGCTATAGATACTTGCTAGGTATAAAATACATATGAAATAGGTCAGGTCTTCAAGCAGCTTACAGCCTAGAAAGCGATAGATATGCTTTTATAATTGCTTCAGAACAGGTCTGGAAACACAGGAAACTGGCTTGTTAAAAAGGGAAGGATTATGAGGAAGACTTCACCAGGAAAGACTTTGATGTGTTTAAATGTATTCACAATCTATTAAACTTAAAATGAAATTTCAAAGTGAGAAAGTATGATGCCATTTTTTTCAGATTCACATTTTAATTTTAAACATACATATATATATAAACATTGGAAGAAAATTAAAAGTGGTTACTGCCAAGTAGTGGAAATATAGGTGAGTTCTTTGTTAAGTCATTTAAATTTTTTCATAATTAATAGATTTATTAAAAATCTAAAACTTGAAATTTTAGATTGAATTTGAAAAATAAACAATATATTTACTGTAAAGCAAAGTTGATACATGAAACCTCACTAAAATACTCTAATACAGAAGCAAAGATGAAATTGTTCTATCCTAGATACATATATGAAATGGTCACATTGTGAAAGTTTTATTCATATACTGTTTCCTTACTAGAGACAGAATTATGTCAAGGCTTCAGTGACACTTATGTACAAATTTTAAAGAAAAAGGATAAGACTATTTTACTATACCACTATTTTAGAGCTTAAAAGTAACAACTACATTTTTTAAATGTTGCTAAATTAAACAATTTACCTCATAACTTCTATAATCCACTTCCACATCATCTCCATACACATTGAGTTCCATATTCTTGTGACTAAACACTGTAGCTGGCTTGGGATTTCTAGGGTTGCATGCCATATCATCTGCAAGCATCAGAACAATGTGACTAGAAAAAAAAAATTCCAGTAAATACACTCTTTAAATAAAGCCAAAGATAAAAACAGATACACTTTACTTATATCATGTGGCAAATACATTCATTTTTTTATTCATTAAAAATAATTCAAAATAATTAGAGTACATATTTAAAAGAGCTTTAATTATGTTTTTCATATCCTTTTACAGTATAAGTTTGAAAGTAAAGAAATAAGAGCAATTTGGAATGAACTTATCTGGAACTTTAAATTACTAAATTTTTTTCCCAGTAGAACATACTTTATGCTGTACAGTAAAGGGAAGGTGAGGGAGCTACACTGTTCTCCCCAGATATATAAAAATAAATTTTAGTAATATTTGACATTCTCAAGATTTACAGAGTCCACATTAAACTACGATATTCCATGGAATTTAATTTTCAGAATCCCAAGTAGTATGAAAACACGCAATTCATCAGCAAGTGCAATCAGGGCACCACAGGACCACATCTTCAGTCTAATCACTCTTCGATGGCTCTCCTCCATCTCCCTAATACCAGTCACCACCATCTCCTGACTAGAAGCTGGGGTGGTGCCCTATCTGGCTTCTCACTTCCACTCTCACTCTCTTACATCTTATAGTTCATTCTCCTGATAGCCACCAGAGTGATCTTCCTTAGATAAGTCAGATTATTAAATTTCTCATTTAAAACCCTCCAGTGACTTCCCCATTATAATTAGAGGAAAATCAAGACCCCTTACCTGGTCTAAAAAGTTCAGTGTGTCTCTAATGTCAGCCCCTACCACCCACATTCACTATGTTCCTTCCACACTATGGCCATTTTTCTGTTCCAGGATTATGCCAAACCTCTTCCATTTCAGGGGCTACTGACTTCTCTCCTCCAAAATCTTCATATCATTCCAATCTCAGCTAAGGTACCTTATTCTCATTATGTGTTTTATTATCCACAGGTCATGTATGAATCCAAAATCCCCACCACCTCTCACCACTGCCCCTATTAGAATATAAGCTCTCTGAGGGCAGGGGCATCTGTCCTGTTCACTGTATCACTCAGGTTTAGTAATAGAGTCTGGCATATAGTAGGTATTCAGTATTTGAGTAAATAGAACATTTTAATTTTTGCATATATTTTCTTTGAGAGAAAATTACAAAATCTCTCTTAAATACGTCCCATCTTGATCTTATCACTAAAACTGGTGAATGTGAATCAGACAATACTTTATTCCACCATATACTTGAGCTTCCCAAACATAAGGGAAAAATCAATGTGGCATACATAATTAGTTTGGCAGAAGGCAGAAAGAAGAAAATGTTCTGCTGCATATGTTCCAAATACATTAAAGTTCAAAACTGAAACATTGTGATTTTTCTTGAAAATTGGCTATACTTCTATTTTGAAAGAGTTCCAACCCTGCCACATTCAAAGATCAGATCTTCAGCTGTTACTGATTCATACTCACAGAATGGTGAAAGTCGTTCCTCTTAAAATGGAAAATATATCTTCTCTTTTTAATAACTTAAGATGATTAACTTACATTAAATTACTAACAATCATGTCTTTTTAAATTAGCCACTATTAAACCAAGACTGAACTGATCTTCAAATTTCAATATAAAAATAAGAGTATTCTTTCAAGTCATGATTTTTATTTTTAATTAAGGTATCATTGATATATAATCTTATGAAGGTTTCACATGAGCAACACTGTGGTTTCAACACTCACCCATATTACCAATTCCCCCCACATCCCATTGCAATCACTGTCCATCAGTGTAGTAAGATGCTATAGAGTCATTACTTGTCTTCTCTGTGCTATACTGCCTTCCCCGTGACCTACCTATACTGTGAGTGCTAACTATAGTGCTCCTTAATCCCCTTCTCCCTCCCTCCAGGTCATGTTTTTTGTTTAATGTTAATTTCACTTTATGAAACTAAATGATATTCAGGATCTACACAATGTCAATATCCTAAAGAAGTAGAAACTTGAACTCAAAATTACAAATTCAATCAACACTACTCCTACAGATAATTTTAAGCCTCAATATAAGTACCTCACTTACTACAATCAATATACCATAAAAAATCATTATATTTATGTATAATAAGTGAAAAAAACAGATCAGGAAAAAGACTGGATTTCAAAGGGTTAGATGTATAACCACATATTCTAATTTACTGTTTCTGAAACTTACAAATTGTTCAGAAATCTTTTCTGGAGAAAAAAAAATTCTCACATGGTTCAAGTGTTAAATTATTTGCATGTACAGTGAGACTAAAATACATACATGAAATTAACCCCTTAGGCTTATAGTTCTTATAAAATTATAGATAAACACAAAATTCTAAGTGAAATTTTAACAAAACAACCAAACTAGTAATAACCTAGTAAAAAATAGGCATTAATTCCATTTGAAGGATGATGTTATTTCACTAAAACTAAATGAATGCTGTTGTATTTAACAGAAGAAAGATAATTTCAGGCCTCATTCTATACTTCATTGTTTTCTATATTTTGATAACCACACTACAGCATAATGCAATGACATAGAAAATGTTTGTTCACAGAAGTATCTTGTACAAAATGCAATTCACAATTTCCTGGCTCTGTTTACTACTGTTCAGGATAATCAGATTTTAAATGTAACTAAGCTTTTGCCAATAAACAGTCTTTGAACACCGATTATCATGAGATCTAATTTGTTGACTCCTTTAAAGTGTCTCTTTCACTTGACCATCAGGTTAGTCTCACAGCAGTTATTTAAGTCTTC